CCTCACTAAGTATATCCTCAAAAGCAGCTGATACAGCAGTCCCTGTCTTGTTTGTTAGGCATCTAACCCATGCGTATTTTGAGAATACATCTATACATGTTAGCAGATATCTCACATTATCATTATCTGTCACATATTCACACATGTCAACCAGATCGGCTTGAAACTGTTTGTCGACCCCTGTCACCAATACTCTATTTCTGGGGAAGTGGATCCTCGCAGTTTGATGTCGATTACAGTTTCCTCCCACAGGTCTGATATGAGGGGGTCTTGCGAGCATTGTGGTGAAGGTGGTGGAGTCTGGGGGGTCGGGATTAGCAGCGCTGTTGATGGTGACTCTGACAGGTCCCATGACTGCATGTCATGCTCTGTAAAATGAAAACCACAAGCTCTTAATTTGTCACATAGATACACAAGCAAACCTACACACCCGCACATTAAACCTACCAGTTTATTGTTTAGTTGTCGGAAGGTCTTATGATTTTAGGTTTGCACAGGGTAGCAGGCAAACCAGTCTTCGGACAACTCGCCAGATCGTCAAAAACAAGGCGTTTTCTAATACTCTCGTACGCAGTGTTGAGTCTGTCCCTCTTGATCGCGTCATCAATCTGGCTAAACAGACGCGACAAACCTCTCCAGTCGCACCACTGTATAAAAAACAAGTCGTTAAACTATCTTGTGCGCTCTTCGAGGTTAAGAGGGTAAGGATTTAACCTCCAGTTTTCAAGCCCTCTGGAAGCAATAAGACTATCCCTGTCATCACATACACTGAGAAAAATAAAGTCGTCAGGGTTGCGATTGAAACGATCAGCCTCAACCCTGTAAAGCTCAGGGCCTGATGCACTGTTCCACTGGGAAACATACAGCAGCTCTGGGAAGCCCACATTGTCCAGGTCCGCACACACTACGGTGCGGAAGAGCTTCCAGTTTTTAGTAGACATACCCTTCGGGTACACATACACATACCCTTCGGCGCCTCGATATTCTAACTTAAATACAGTCCCATCTACGGGGTTTTCACAGCGTTGCTTTTTACGTTGAGGATCCCGACTGCATACTCCTGAAGACATACGTAGAGTGGCTGTGGCATGGGTAGCACACCTGAACGCGCATGCGCACACGCACGAAACCGGTCAAACCGGGTGTCATCTTGAACTAGTGCTATCTCACTTGTGTCTTTATGAACTCTCAGCAGTCACACAACCGGTTTGGTTGGCTGCTTTCTTGAACTAGTGCTATCTCACTTGTGTCTTTATGAACTCTCAGCAGTCACACAACCGGTTTGGTTGGCTGCTATCTTGAACTAGTGCTATCTCACTTGTGTCTTTGTGAATTCTCAGCAGTCACATCAAGTTGTTAAATACTCCAGGTGGTTTTTCGACCTCTGAGCAAATCTCAGAAGAAAGAGAAAATACTTTTCTTTTTAATTAAACAGCAAAGTCTTCACTCAGCAGTGATGGTGGTCCAAAGGTTCAGGATTTTTTCTTTGCTCGTTTTTGTAACTGTTGGTTTTCTGGTGTTTATTCTGTCACAGGAACATTTATCAAGGTCAGTTGGGTTTTTTTTTCTTTGTTTTTTAATATTTTGTGTTGATATAAAGAATCATTAAAAAGGGAACTGTGAACTGATTTGCTAGTTCTGTTATTTGTACTTTGCTATTTGTTTGTCATTTGTTACCTCTGTTGCATTTCTGCCTAATTCCTGATTCAGGAGGACAACTTTCTCAGGAAAAAATGGACACAAATGGGAAAAAATTTATCTTGACAGTGTCATTACATTTTTGGGAAAAATCAAAAACACATCTGCACCACCCTTTGTGTGTACCACAGCTAGCATAGCAAAAGTTATTTCAACAAAAATGAACCCAGTGACAAAATCTAAAACCCCTACACGCGGAGCCATGGCTGAGACTCCTATGCCTATCCTCTACAAAATAAATTTCACAAAGCTTCCTCAGTGGGATTTTGATGATGTTTATAACCAGGATGCACCACCTAGACCGACAGTAAGCATACTAAGATATGAGAGAAGTAATATAAATGCAGTTTCTAACTTTTCTGTGTTTGGGTATAGGCAGCACTGAATTCTGCTCAGCCAAGCAGTCAATCGTTTTCCTTGTGACCTATACATGTACCTTGTTTCCCCCTTTAAATTCATTATTTTCATTTTGTGGAGCTGTTTTTCTACCTTTGTGGCTTCGCATATGTCTGCCTTCACTCTTTCCTGCAGTGATGCACCAATTATGAAATTCTCTGCTGAAACCAATACAGATGTTTAAAAATAACTATCTGGCACATGGCTAATGCTAACACTTATTTTACTCTTGCTTTATTACATTTTTTCTGTCATTTGGTTCTCCCCGTTTTGAATTATTCAAGGCTGTTATTTAATAGAGTTGGATAATTATATCAGAGCAAATTCTGTCTTTGGCTAATTTCCTGTATTTAATAGTTTTATGATTTTCAGGCATGTGCCCAGTCTCTGCGAAACTCTGACAATGAAAACTTTAAGAAGGCTTTTCTTCCAAACATACGTTTGTTTCTACACAAGGACAACATCAACATGAGCGAGTGGAATCGGCTCTCACATTTTAACAATCCTTTCGGTTTTATGGAGTTCAAGTACGACGGTAGGTCTTTTAGTGACACACCTATTTTCTTTTGTTATGACACATCCTCAAGCAACTTTTTGGCACATGAATAGGCGACTTGAAGCTACTTCTCAAATCAATGTTCCCCTATCCATTTTCCTATGCTTATCCAATTCAGGGTCACATGGTGTTGCTATAGGTTACCACCTGCAATATGCAGACTCTACGCAGAAAGACCAGGGCTGAATTCAAACCCAGGCTTGCTGTGAATTTATGGTACCAAGCTTGTGTCCAGCTGTGTGTCTTTGCTTTCTGAGAGTGGTTTCAAACCAGCACTTTCAGTCCTCCAAAATCCTAGCTGCATGTTGCTCTACATTAATGACCCCATGTGTTAGTTGAATGCTGATTGGCTGACAAGGGGCTAAAACAATGAAGTTAGCAACAGCTGAGTTCACAAGGAATGAGGGGAGCAGCTATAAAAAATAAAAAAAAGATCTTAAGTTTGTTTGTTTGAGGTTGTTTTTTGATTTGTCAACCCAGACTAAGTGCCTTTCATAATCTTTTGTTTTGGACTACTTCAGGAGCTCCAGGTTTTCTTGTTGCACTTTTGTTCTAGCTCTGGTCAGTTCATGACAACATCAACTTTAAGTTCTTGTCTGCATTTCATTATGTTTCCTGTTATATTTTGAAAGAGGTCCCCAGTTTAGTTTTAAGTTTCCCCTGTGACGTCGTTATGTTCATGTGTGTCAGCTGTTTCCTCATGTGTTGCCACTTCTCCTGATCACCTCATGTCTGTATTTAAGTCCTTCCTGTGTTCAATGTTGCATCCTCCCTCATATGTCTGTTTGCCAAGCCTGACCAGTTTATTTTGTATCACCAAGTTTAGTTTATTGCTAAACACTGGAGAAAATAGAACTACCATTTTCAGTTTCAGCTTGGCCTCTGTGTTTTAGTCTGCAATTTAGGTCCTTTCATGCCTCCCTCCACACAGACCATAACAAATTTACTCTAGTTCTGCTCACTGAAAGCTCTCGTCCCTTTTAGTAAAGATGAGCAGGTGAGTCAGGTAAAGCTGAAGAAACAGCTGTTAATGCATGAATAAGAGTTATGGCCTTCATCTTGCTTCATTGTTTTCATATACAGGATACATTACTGTGCTGGAACTACAGCACTCAGAGTAAACACATTTTTGAATTTTTCTTTTGGTTTGCAGATGTGATGAAGTCAGTGAAGTTGATTCCAAAGCCAAAAGAGCCGTTGCTCCTCCCAAAACCCGGTGGTGACGGTTGTGTGCGCTGTGCTGTGGTAGGTACTGGAGGAATCCTGAACGGCTCAAAGAAGGGGGTGGAGATCGATGGCCATGATTACGTTTTTCGGTAAGACAAAAAAAACCCCCCAAGCAAACCTCTTGGCTTTGTTTGACAGGCACTAGGCCAGTGTAGAAAAGATAAAGCAGTGTAAAGCATACCCTGCTTTATCTTTCTCTGTGACTTTCATATAGGGCTGGGTATCGTCACTGATTTCTAGAACCTATTTGATTCTGATTCACCAGAATGGGTGTAGAGATTGATGCGCATGATTATGTTTTTCGGTAGGAAAGGACAAACAGAACAACACTATCAACTATTAAGGTGTATCTTTTACTAAAGTTAGCTTTAAAACATAAGAACGCTAAAAAAGATATAAAAAAAACATGAGAACGGTTGCTGATCAGCAAATTCTTTGACAGTAAAAATGTGGTACTGTATCTGATAGCTCACCTGCTTGTGGTGTAGAAACGCCAAAATGTATTGTTCTCTTTCAAACATCAGTGTCGTCATAGAGTCAGAATGGAAAGCGTGTTAAGTGAATTAAGCTTCAGTAAGAGTATGTTCTGAAATGTTTTGGGCCAACACTTCAGTGGTATTGCTGAAGGTGGTTGATTCCACAAGAAAACCATTCTCCCAAAATGAAAGCAACGATTGCTTCTCAATTGATCTGAGCAAATTACTAAGCTTAAACATTTGAAGCCAAGCTTAACATCTGCAACACCTGCTTCTGCCTGTGTGGCAGGATGAATGGTGCCATCACCAAGGGCTTTGAAGAAGATGTAGGAAACAAAACATCGGTGTATGTCCACACAGCCCACTCCATCACTTCATCTCTTTACATCCTTAAAAAACACGGATACAAAGCTGCTCCTCATGATGAGGTAATGAAGCTTTTCATTGGCCCTTGATTTTTGTTTTATTTCAGTAGAGTAAAGATGGCTTCTCTGTCCTCATTTTCCTTCTGGCAGGGTATAAAATATGTGATGATTCCTGAGGGGATGAGGGATTACCAATGGCTTGAGGGCCTTCTCAAAGGAGAAAAGGTCTCTGCTGGTCCATACCGCAAGAGACTGTGAGTATCAACTAAATGTTATGTGCTGCTGCAGTATTTATGGCTTTTTGTGGTGTTAAATTAAAATAAATTTAGAATCTGTGACATTTTTATTCAAATGCTATAACATACATTTTATTAAGTGTCTATTAAAACTGTACATTTAAAAAAAATAGAACTTTGTAATAAGTGTTTTGCCTTAAATTTAATAATAATTTTACAAATCATTTATCTCTTGCTCAAACAACTTTCTGGGACCTTCCTCTGTGGAGTTTCCGTGTTCTCTGTGTGCTCATGTGGTTATTCCCTTGCTGTTCCCTCAGTCCAAAAACATGCATTCTGTTGATGGCGATTCTAAATTAGTCTTATTGTAGGTGAAATAGACATGCATGTAAAGTGCTATATAAACATTTGTGAAAATTGTTTGAGTGATGGTCAGATAAGAAAAGCACCATAAGCCACTTCATTTCTTTTTTGCTTTGCTTTTTTACTTTTTAAGTATTTTGCCGGTTCAGTTACTGTTGAGAAACATCGGCTTTCTGTTTGTGCAAATCAAGCCTTCATTTTGGTGAAAGTGAGCTTTTAGGGGAATAATCAACATTTACTTTATATTAAATTTCATTTGCAGACAATTAATTGAGATAGTTTACTACGGAGAAGTGTAAACTTTTCTTTCACTTAAGTAAATGCACACTTTTTTTAATAACTACACGGCTGTTCTGCAGACCATCTAAATTTCGTGTCATACATGCACACTCAGACTGATATTCAGGTAAAAGTTTTTTGGTCTAAAATGGACTGCAGGCACATAAGCATATGTTTCCAGCTGTTCACTCCAGCAAATAAATTTAATAGCATTTGAGAAACTAAAACATCTCATCATCCTTTCATTACTCCTATTGTTCAACCCCCCCAGGCCAAGGACCTACTATTCAGGGCAGTACAACGAGAGCCGCTTCTACGTTCTGCATCAGGATTTCCTCCGATATGTGCGGAACAGGTCAGCCTTCTTTCACCATCCACTCCAGAACATTTATTTTTAAACAGTCCAGACTATTTATTCTATTTTTTTAATTTTATTTAAAGCCTTAAATTATTTAAAGCCTTCTCTTAATTACAATATTAAAAGTTGTTAAGTTAAATAAAATAAAAAAATGTTGATAAAAGTTGTTAAATAGGTTGAAGGTCCATAATGTTTGATTTTTTTTTTTTTTAATCAAATGATCCAAACAATATTGAAGTACAGATTTTATGCATAGTCCAAGTTAACTTTTCCCATTGTAACAATATGTACACAAATACAAACAGACATTTTGCAGTTCTTTCTGCTTACATTGAGTGAGTAGCAGCCAGGTGCTGCTAATCAAGGGGAAGTTTTCTGCAGTCATTGCTCCAGACCATGCAGATGTGTGCTAACACCATGCTACAGTCTTCCCAACAGTGGGTGTGTGATGGTCAAAGAAATTGCAAAAACCGCAATAGCTACACCTTAGATTCTAACAGTCTTAGTTAGCATGTTAATTGTTAAAGATCATGACATTACAATGAGGAAAATGAAAAAGCCTCTACTCCCTAAAAAAGAAATGCAGCACCGTTTAGGTTTGAAGAGTTCTATCTGAACAAACCGCAGGACTTCTAGAACAATGTCCTTTGGACAGATAAGCCCAAAGTGGAAATGACTGCCCATAATGCACAGCACCACATTTAAATACAGCATATCAGCTCAAACGCCTCATATTGACTGAAACCACAGTGCGAGAGGAAAGATGATGAGTTGGACTTGTTTTCTAGCAATAGCAAATGGACATTTTATAGTCGAAGAGTTAAACATACACTTGTCTGTATATCAAAGTGTTCTACAGCCAAATGTGAGGCCGCCTGTAGAACAACTAAAGCCAGCCAAACTGAGTCATTTAATAGGACAATGATTCCAAATCAAGCAGCAAGCATACAACAGAATTGCTGTGGAATCAAGGTGTTGCAATGTCCCATTCAAAGTCCAGACCACAACTCAATGGAAATGTGAGGTGAGAAATTAAGACACCTGTGCATAAACAAATGCCTACAAATATTGAACTTAAGCAATGTTGTACAGAAACATTCTTCCACAACAAAGTGAGAGACCGTTAGTAATACAGAAAATAATTATTACTTCAAGTTATTGTTGCTAAGGCCAGTCCTACAACCTATTATATCATTGCATTACAGGTTCTTGAAGTCACCCAATCTGAATAAGAGATACTGGGCCATAGTCAGACCAACCAACGGAGCATTCACTCTCTTCCTGGCTCTGCACACCTGTGACACAGTGAGTTAACACTTGATTTTAACTTCTTAACATTACAACTACTTCTAACCACACCTTTGGAAGAATGCAGCACACCATGTGTACATTAACTTTGTATTAAAAGCATATTAACGTCAAACTATCTTATTACTGTTTTAGCAGCATATTTCAACGTGGAAAGACCTTCCCAGCAATCATATAATAAAGTTGTATTAAAGCTCTGAACCACTGTCAGGGATAAGCTGAAGGAACACTGACTTTTTGTGTACCCTCCTAGGAAAATAAGATAAGATGTTTAAATTAAAACTGTAAAATAAGGTGTGTCACCAGTTTTATTGAACTGTTCCAATGTGTGAAGACAGACCAGCTGGACAGCATCGATAAAACTGATGTCACACCTTGTTTTACACAGCTATTTAATAAACTTGTCAAACAGATTCATCAAGTGTCTATAACATGACCCAACTCAAGAGCTTCATGCATTTATATAAATTTCACAATGGTAACTTTATCATTTACTTTGAATTATTGGCAGTTTCTCTTAACAGCTTTCTTTTTTTGGACACTTTTTATTAGCTGTTAGCCAAAGTCTGATGTGTTACTATTGTCAAGAGTTTTCTTTTTTTAAGGCCTTTTCTGGGGTGATTTTTCTTTTTTACATTCTCACAACAGGCTAATTGTGTTAGGGTTCAAAGATGGACCAAAATTCAGAGTAAAACAAAAACCAAGCCTTATCACACAGTGATCAGTGCTAGCTAAAGGTACAGTTTCTTTATTTCTCAAGGACAGCAAAGAATGGGAGAACTTCACTCAGAGATGGAAAGACAGGACAGGAGACAAAGAAAACATTCAAAGAATAGAAATGCTAAGGGATACAGTGGCTTGCAAAAATATTCGGCCCCCTTGAACTTCTCCACATTTTGTCACATTACAGCCACAAACATGAATCAATTTTATTGGAATTCCACGTGAAAGACCAACACAAAGTGGTGTCCACGTGAGAAGTGGAACGGAAATCATACATGATTCCAAACATTGTTTACAAATAAATAACTGCAAAGTGGGGTGTGTGTAATTATTCAGCCCCCTTTGGTCTGAGTGCAGTCAGTTGCCCATAGACATTGCCTGATGAGTGCTAATGACTAAATAGAGTGCACCTGTGTGTAATCTAATGTCAGTACAAATACAGCTGCTCTGTGACGGCCTCAGAGGTTGTCTAAGAGAATATTGGGAGCAACAACACCATGAAGTCCAAAGAACACACCAGACAGGTCAGGGATAAAGTTATTGAGAAATTTAAGCGAATTCAAGCGATTATTCCGAAATGGAAGGAGTATGGCACAACTGTAAACCTACCAAGACAAGGCCGTCCACCTAAACTCACAGGCCGCACAAGGAGAGCGCTGATCAGAAATGCAGCCAAGAGGCCCATGGTAACTCTGGACGAACTGCAGAGATCTACAGCTCAGGTGGAGGAATCTGTCCATAGGACAACTATTAGTCGTGCACTGCACAAAGTCGGCCTTTATGTAAGAGTGGCAAGAAGAAAGCCATTGTTAACAGAAAACCATAAGAAGTCCCGTTTGCAGTTTGCCACTGGCCAAAATGCAAAATGCTATGTGTGGCGGAAAACTAACACTGCACATCACTCTGAACACACCATCCCCACTGTCAAATATGGTGGTGGCAGCATCATGCTCTGCGGGTGCTTCTCTTCAGCAGGGACAGGGAAGCTGGTCAGAGTTGATGGGAAGATGGATGGAGCCAAATACAGGGCAATCTTTGAAGAAAACCTCTTGGAGTCTGCAAAAGACTTGAGACTGGGGCGGAGGTTCACCTTCCAGCAGGACAACGACCCTGAACATAAAGCCAGGGCAACAATGGAATGGTTTAAAACTAAACATATGCATGTGTTAGAATGGCCCAGTCAAAGTCCAGATCTAAATCCAATCGAGAATCTGTGGCAAGATCTGAAAACTGCTGTTCACAAACGCTGTCCATCTGATCTGACTGAGCTGGAGCTGTTTTGCAAAGAAGAATGGGCAAAGATTTCAGTCTGTAGATGTGCAAAGCTGGTAGAGACATACCCTAAAAGACTGGCAGCTGTAATTGCAGCAAAAGATGGTTCTACAAAGTTTTGACTCAGGGGGCTGAATAATTACACACACCCCACTTTTCAGTTATATATTTGTAAACAAATGTTTGGAATCATGTATGATTTTTGTTCCACTTCTCACATGTACAACACTTTGTGTTGGTCTTTCACGTGGAATTTCAAAAAAATTGATTCATGTTTGTGGCTGTAATGTGACAAAATGTGGAAAAGTTCAAGGGGGCCAAATACTTTTGCAAGCGACTGTATTTGATAAACTGCATATTTAAAGCTCTAGAATGTCCTCGGATTGCACCGTGATTAGCACTGTTGCCTCAAAGCAAGAAGCTCCTGGGTTCAAATGCAGCCTAAATACATTTGCACCAGCTTTATGCTGTCTAGGCGAGGTGGAAAGCAGTGATAGCTCACGTAACATTTGCTTGCAACTTGTTGAATTCAGATGTGTAAATCCAAAAAGGATGCTGATCTAAGCCAGTCGCCTCAAGGTGCATTATATTGTAAGTTAAAGACCACACGATAATACAAGTATCTGTAGTGAAAGGAGAAAAAAGAAAGGGGGGAACTGGCTCTTTGAGCTCTAGAAATGCCATGAAACCAAACAGAAACCAATTCTTAAAAAACCTGAAATCGTGAAAATTTGAATTTCCATAATTGTTCTCCCTTTAATATGTTACTTCTCTAATGATAAAAGTAATTATTATCATTAGAGAAGATAGTGAAGATAAAGGTATATTTTTATTTTTATTTAACATTAGCTGTTGCTGTTAAAGAATGAGTTAAAGATAAACTAATAAACTGGGCTTGTTAAAGTGGCTCCCCAGGTGTTTTACTAATTCCAAAAGCAGTTATGTCATTTTTATCATTTATTATTTCAGTGTAATTCAGTCCCCTTTTTATTTCTCACTACTTCATCTTCAGGTGGATGCATACGGATTCATGAGTGAAGAATTCAAGAAATACTCCAACTACTATTATGACAAGTATGTTAAAACCAGGGTCGTTTTCTATTCCAACCACGACTACACTCAAGAGAAGAACACATGGAAAAACCTTCACAACAGCAAAATATTAAATCTGTACCAGGGAGTGTAAGTAAACCCAGGACTGTAAGATCTGCAGCAATGCTGCAACGGCAAGAATAAAAGCAATGGGATAAGGAAGAGACTGTTATTTACCGATTATTACAAGTCAAACAGATAAGGTTCAGATAAGAGCGCACCATAAACATCTTCTCCACAATCAAGTTGATTCTGTTCTCTTCCAGTTAAGATCCGGTATTATAACCACACATTTGAGTAAGTCAGTGCGATCTAGGATGAAATTTACACTTTTTCTGTTTCTAGCCCCGTAATCAAATTTCATTTCTTACAAATCAATATTCAGAATTTATCCAGAATGATCCATACATGTTTAACTATATATAAGTATATACTCATATACAGCACATAAACATACACATAAAACAATTTCAACACATAAACCAAAACAACAACAAACTACATTTTTACATAAACTAAGCAACCTGTGGTTAACAGCCACTTAATCTCTTACCTAATTTTTATTTCTAAGTGACAAAATACCTTAATGAACACTTTAAGCTTGGGTTACTATGGCCTCGATCTATAAAAATAAGGACAAGGCTTCAATAGAACATAATGAGACAACTCAATAGGTATGACAGGATTAAATAATGCTATCTGCACACATAGTAATGGATTCTGGGTGCACATGCAAGGCCTACCAGTTCTTACAAATAACAATCCAACAGTCAACACCACTCCTTTAAAATGCAGATTACACGTGTTATTAGGCATGTAATGTAGTAATAATGTATTATTTAGTTTTAATGCTTTGGTGATTGTCAATTCGTTTCTGTAAAAGAATGTATATGTAAAGTATTAAAAGTAGCCAGGATGTGGCTGCTGGTATTAAACTTAAATGAAGTGATGTGATGTTTTTTGACTGTTAAAACTACTACAGATGAGATATAAAGGCTATAAATTGTTTATTTTGGCCCGTGGATGGTTAAATTGTTTCTCCAATCTGTATCTATCTCAGGCAGTTGCAGTATGGGCTTTGAGATGAGCTCCTGCAGTAAACAGCACCACCTGCAGCTTTTTCAGAGCAGGACTTTATCCAAGTGCTGTACTTTAGTACTCCTTTGACTTACTTTAAGATAAGATAAGATAAGATAAGATAAGATAAGATAAGATAAGATAAGATAAGATAAGATAAGATA